TTTGCAGAATAGGAAGGGTCATTCTGTCTTACCTTCCTGCTTAGACGCTTTGGGGAATTTTGCTTCCGGCTGCTCTCTGTTGGAAACCGGATCCCGGTCCAGATGGACTTCTGATCCAGTTTACGAGATCCTCTTTTTGTGGCGTGTGCTTTCCGCACAAACTGCACCAGGCGTTGTGCTTTTGCTGAGGTCAGGCAAAGCACAAGGTCCATGCAGATGACCGCTTATGTATCCGGCCTTTCTCGCTCCAGGGCCTTGGCCGTCCTGAGCTTCACCTCCTCAGTGCCAACGGATCTAAAAATATTACAAAGCACCAAAGAACAAAGCGTGGATTTTCCACAGAGAGCCAGCACTCCAAGGGACTGATAGCAGAAGATTATTATTATTTTTGTTGAAAATATTATCAGAAGCTGACATTTCAAAGGTGCAATTGCTCTCTGTGAATGATCAATGGACACTACAGAATCCAGGAAAGGAACTGAGATTTTCCATCGGAGGGGAAGGGGAACAGATGCAGGAGGGGGTCTATATATCCCATTTTGTACTTTTAAATTGTCGGCTGGGATGCTGCTGGTCCAGTGTGTTTGGAACTGGGACAGAGACAGTGGGGACTTATCGTTCTCACATCAGTGGAAGAAACTGGAGACATGTCCTAAAATGTTCAAAATATGGCTATTTTAGTACTACAAAACCCACAAAATATTTTGGTCTTTGTTTCCTCCTAAAAGTAAACTTCATGGGTCATGTACAGGGTGACCAGAAGTCATAACCACAAAGGAGGGCAAGGCACCGCAAAATGTAGGGCGTTCAAGAAAAATGTAGGGCGTTATAAAATAAAAACACTCATATAAATGTAAATGCATGCTTCTTAGTCATGCTCAAAATGGAGGACATGTTGGAAGTCTTCCTGGACAGAAGGTTGAAATTAAGGACATGTCCTGGAAAAGGAAGACTCCTGGTCACCCTGGTCATATATAAAGGACAACATACTATATAAATACATAATATAATAACACATCCTTCCAATCGTCCCAGTTTGGAAGGCATAGTCCCAATTCATCTTTTGTTGTTCCACTTTTTCATATGCTTTCAAAATGTCCCAGTTTCTTTCTCCTCCTCCCACATTTCTCCTCATCTTACTTCACTTCTGCAAACTAAGTTCAAAGTGCAAAAGTAGTTTATACTCCACTAACTTGGAGGGCAAAAAGAGAATAAAGGGCCAAATTCTGTCCTTCCCAGTAGGCTCAGACAAAAGCAAACTGCTGCCGCCTCTCCTAGCTTGTGTTTTTTTCTTCATTAATAACTTTTGCCATCTTGACCATGCTCTGATGTTGCTTAGCTACACCTGCCCTAGTTTTCAACTATGCAATGTTGGAGGGTATGCTATAGCAGGATACAGAACAGTGCCATCATCCACAGGGACCTTTGGAGGATTCCTCAAGGTCCCTTTGGACAAATGATGCTGTGGAGGATGCAGCTGAGAAAAGATGGATTAAAGGAGTTGGACAGGAAACAACCACAACTATGCCTCACAGCTATGTCTCCCAATGCATGATCACAAGGGTTGTTTTAATTGTATGCCCCCTGAGATCTTATGATAAGAGAATGGGAGACAAATACATTAATTCATTTATTAACATTAGCCAAGATTATGATGCGGCAGCTAAAAAAGCCAATGCGCTTCTAGGCTGCATCAATAGGAGTATAGCATCTGGACTGAGGGAAGCAATAGTATCACTCTATTCTGGTTTTGTCAGACCTCACCTGGAATGTTGTGTCCAGTTCTGGGCACCAGATTTTACATTTTAAGTGGAGGCCCAGTTGCACAACCCACAACCTTCAGGTTCACTGAATAACCTTTGTTCTTCAAAGATTGTTGGATGTTGGATATGGTGTGATGTAGCCGCTAAAAAGGCCTTTGTGATTCTAGGTTGCATCAATAATACACCCTCTAAATTGAAGGAAATAATAGTATCACTCTATTCCGCTTTGAGCAGACCTCACCTGGAATAATCCTGTGTCCAGTTCTGGGCACCACAATTCAAAAAGGATATCGAGAAGTTGGAGTGTGTCCAGAGGACGGCAACCAAAATGGTGGAAGGCCTGGAATCCATAAAGCTGTATGAGGAGGGACTTAGGGAGCTGGGGATGTTTAGCCTGGAGAAGAGAAGGTTAAGAGGGGATATGATAGCCCTGCTTAAGTATTTGAAGGGGTGTTACATTGAAGATGGAGCAAGCTTGTTTTCTGCTGC